GGCAGGGGAGATGTTCGGCGGACTGACTACGGTGTTACATGTTGACCGCCCATTTCTTTTTTTTTTTTTTTTTTTTTTTTTTTTTTTTTTTTTTTTTTTKTTTGAGGGCTGCGCCACACTCTGCCGCAGTGCAATACAGAGGCAACGCTGGAAGGGTCGAGCAGGCGAGCCTACCCATATGACCCCTTCGTAGCCCAGAAAAATTAATTTAATATCGTGTGGTCCGATGGACCACGGATCAGATATTAAACTGATCAGAACAGATACTACACTTGGTCTTAGCCAAAAGGCCGAGAAAGGTATTGACCGCCCATTTCATCTAGAGGGCAATGGCCTTCTTGTTTTGGGTCTCTTCCCTGTTGTGGCTTTCTTGTGGTGTAGTTCCATGCTACTTTTTTTTTTTTTTTTTTTTTAATTTGGACCATTTCTCGATTTATGCGTGTCATCCTTGCACAGGGGCCGTGCTAATCTTCTCTGTATCGTTCCAATTTTGACGGATGTCCCGAAGGACTGTTCCGTGCTACTTTTGAGATACAGGACTGTTTATTGGGGTCCCATCATGTCCATAGGATCTATTGGCGTCCCATGTCCGTAGGATCTATCGGGGTCAGCCCATAGGAATGGCTCTAACCCTAAGTTCTTTTTTGTTTTTTTGTTTTTTTAACCCTAAGTTTAAACCACCAGTCCGAGCTTCTTTTTTTTTTTTTTTTATATATTAAAAAGGTCGTATTATTACCAAATGAAATGGAACGAGGCCGGGGACCTCACAATTCAACCCGGAGTTATCCTGACAGCTTCAGTCAGTTTAGCTTATAGTTCATCAACTGGAACTTCCAACCCCACATTCTCCCAGCAACAATTATTTGACTCAATACAATCTCCATTTCATCTCAGAGTATTCCCCTACACAATCTCAGCTACCACTAAACAACCTCCTTGGGTCTAATCTATTCTATTCTAGCCTATCTAATCCACCCTGCCTCTAAACTACCTATCCCATCTAAACCCATTTCACAGACCTATCTCACGGTCTGACCCCGGCCTTCTTCGACCGAGAGGAACCTAGGTTCCTTCTAACGCCTGGACACTCCGAGCTTCTTTTTGCTGAGGCCGATTCTCCCTGCGTGCCAAGCTTTGCTGAAATGCCAACGTCCGTTTGAAAAAAAAGGAAAAAAAGAAACGCCAGCGTCCTGCTTTTCTTTTCTTTTGGCTGGCCCTATCAGCCATTTTGGTCTGGTAGCCCCGACCCACGGAAATTTTAGGACTGGCTGGATTTTGATTCTCAAGTTTGCCTGGGCGATGTACATGTACTGGCGGTGCTAAATGGGCGATTGATTGCTTAGACAATCAGCTTTGGGCACGGTCCCATCCTTATTTACCATGACTCCTAGGTACTGGTACTCTTCCCTGGTGGGACCATGACTCTAGATTGGGTATGCCTTCTCGCTGAGGGGCAGAACCTTCAGCTGACCACCAGCTTCTTCTTCTTCTTCTTTGTTGTTTTTTTTTTGTTTTTTTTTAACAACCCGAGGTAGTGCTAGGGTGCTGATAAGAGCAGACACCACTAACACTGTACGGAAGGCTCCTTCTATTGGTGGGGAGCAGCACCTGCTGGAAATCATCCGCCCAGGCAACTATCGTCTTTACCCAAACAGAATGCCGGAGTGAGGTAATGAGGATGGAAGGGGGGTCTCAGTCTTTTCCTGAATTTTTGCCTATTTTCGATAGTTTGTTGTACCTCTTAATCTAGCTCTTAGCCAAAGCCGGGTAGTGGCCCCGGTACTGCAAATCAAATCCTCAATTTTTTTCAAAATCCTATGTAATTTTCTATATGGGACGCTGGGCCCGGTTCCCAGCACGTGTTGCTCCCCACGAATAGATTGGAGCTTTGTTCCCATAAAAAAAAAAGAATGCCGGGTCATTATCGCTGCATCTGAACTGAAAGTTGTCCAAAGTACAGCGATAATGACTGGCGGCTGAAGACAGTACCGTCTTCCCCCTCCCCATAATATAACTTACGGTGGTGATTCTAGCCGGCTTTTAGTCCATATGCAGCAGAAATGACCGTAGGTTCTATTCCCGGGAAGAAGGTAGTCATGGTGATATGAGCACCTATCACTAGTAGCCCAGTGCCGATGGCTCCATTCTACTGGGGGGGCTAGCACGTGCTGCAAAAATGGCTCCCTGGTCCCTGATGCAGTGAACTGAGTGATCATGATAGTTGTTCGGCATACAGCTGACCACCAGCCTCCTGTCTTGGACCAGTTAATCTCAGACTGCATTTGTATTGCCAATCTGAATGCTTCCCTCACTCTTAGGGTAGGACCGCACAGGACGGCGGCAAACCATTTTGGAAGTCGTGAGGCAACTTCCCGGACCCCACAGACCAAGAATCATGTTGCTGAAGACGATGGGCACTCGATCCACGGCCCCGTTCTTCCTACGTGGCCCTACATTCCGTTTTCCAATACTCAGTTCGTCTACCTACCTCCCGGGTGCGTACTCCGGCGCATGCGGACGGAAGTCGGCAGCCCTTCCATTACAACCAATGGTAAGGGGCCTGGAATGGCCTTCCAGGACCCGACCTTTCCCCAAAAGGAAAACTTGGGTAACCGCCTCCGACGCAAAAGCAACATTTCGTGGTGGCGGTGGGGTCCCCTCTGTTTCATCATCTCCGTTGGCGGTGGGCAGTCGGCTGGAAGAAGAAGACTTCCGAAACCGTTTGCAGCCGTGCTGTGGGGTCCTACCCTAACCTAAGCTGCCACAGATGGGTTGGACGTTTGAAACAACTCCCGCAAGTCATCGCAAACAGCTGGGCTGTGGGGATGGTGAAGTCATGGAGGGGTTTAGTGTTATGGATGGATAATCTGTCAATAGATAAGGCTATTTCATGAGAAGGAGGGCTATGGCACCGGTAACTAAAAGAATGATTGGTGGGGGCAGAGGGTCTCCTTGCCGTACAGATGGAAAAATCGGGGCAGAGGGGGATACAATGCTGTTGTTTTGGGTTTTTCTAACGGGGAAAAGAACGGGCAAGTACTTTCAAGTCACACCCTATGTTCTGAATGGGCAACATTAAGCAGTTCCCAAAAAAATGGCACAAAAAAAAAAGAAAAAAGAGGCAAAAAAGGCAACCCTAAGGGCATACTCACACGGGGACCTATAATCCCAAAATCCCCAAAAAAAGGGGAAAAGGCCGGTCACACGGATCTACCAAGTTTGCAAACGTACTATTCCAGTGCCCATTTGTCAGCGGCCTGGGAAGCCGCGGGGCAAGGGATTTTGCGGTCACCTCTGGAGGTGAAATTCCCTTCTTTTTTTTTTGCATTTTCTTCAAAAAATGGCAAAAATTCGTTCACAAAAATTCTTGCACAATTTGTGGATGGCGCCATGTGACCAGCCAAGTACCAAATCCCCATTTCTCCAGACGGCGGAGACCTTGTCCCATCTGAAAAGGTACAGCAGTGTGACGTGAACCATGCCCAAAACCTCAAATCGGCCCTTCCCAAATCCGCATATTTTGCGGATTTGGGGTCGCCGTGTGAGTATGGCCTAAGACTGCGTTCACTAGTACAGTGGCTAATGACTCGTGCGGTTTTAACCGCCATGACTACAGTGTCACTTTGTCTTTTCTTGCCTAGTACTTCAAACTAAAAGTATGACACAGCCACAGTTTCCTTTCCAAAAAAAAAAAAAAAAAAAAAAAGGGATACTGTTGACTTGACCTACTCTACCAGATGCATTGTTGCACTTGCAACTCATTTCCGGAAACCCTCCCCTATGAAAGCTGTTCCAGACCGTCATGAAGAAAATCCCATTTTTTTTTTTTTTTTTTTTTTTAAACGAAAAACATTCAAATTCATTTCAAAATCTTGCAAAGAGGCTGGGGACCTCACAATTCCACCTGGAGTTATCCTGGCAGCATCAGCCGGTGAAGCTTATGGCCAATGCCTCTTTTGCTTAACCACTTAAGAAAACTTTGCTCAGAACTTAGTAGCCTCATCCCCGGCTTGAAAACAGCAGGGTTTACAATTCCGCCTGTATCTGTAAATCTCAAAATTCCTGACTCAGCTGTATAACTTCCTCACAGAAACTACCTACCCTTCTACCTGTCTGATCCTATCTACCACTCAAGCCTAACTCGGCTCGGACTGCTTAGCCTACCTCGGCTGGCTGGAGCATTCTGCTTCTACGTAACGTGACACTCTCCACCTACCATCCCCATTTTGGCCTACTGTGGCCTGTGAACCTCAGAAACCGGCTACCGAGTGTCCTGGTAGCCTCCTACTCCTAACTACTGAAACAAAACTTGTTGCTTACGTGTAGTGCTGCACCTCAGCTTCTCTGCCATATTTGCTCAGCCACTGCGTGAGGATTAACTTGTGGCCCTGACCAACTTTGGCCAGCTTATTGCCTATACACCATGTGCGTTGGAACCGCCGTAACCCTGCCCCAGTTCGCTTCCTTCCCCCTTTCCTTCGCCAATCCGCCTTTATCTCATTGGAGAGGGTTGTTTTGAACAGATCTCCGCTTGTTTGTCCGAAAGCCCCTCCCTTTGGAATCGTCGGTCGTTTCTGTCTATCCATAAAACCCACATCATGACTGCTCTACTCACTTGAGCAACATAACCCCATCCCTTCTCAGTGCTCAAATCCGGAGGCAGCACTCCTTGGATCACCCACTTCTCATCACCCAAGTCATTTCTGTCCGTTAACCTCTTCCAGTGAGACAGCCACCAGCGCCAGCCTTTCTGCGACGTGGGACAGCTCCACCACACGTGTCTCATGTCTTCCTGTAGCCATCCACATCTGTCACAGGATTGTTGGATTTCCGGTACTCCTCTTTCCTTCGGCCAGACTGCCGTTGGAATCACTAGGTGGGACGTCTTCCATAGCAGGCTTCCCAGTTTCTGACTTGGGATGGCTTTAAGCTGTTTCCACAGTCTATTGAGCTCTTCCTCCTCGGGGGGGGTGGTACCAGGGCAAGCTTTTCCAACCGGCTCTTGAGGATCTGGGCTGTACTGTCCATCTTGCTTGTGGCTGCTCTGATGGTCTGGTGATTGTAGTTTTCCAGTCCCATCTTTGCGCTTCCATTTATTCTCCAACCCAAGCTGTGGGATCTATTCTCAACGTACTTAAGGCCTCCCCATTTGCTGCCACCTGCAGCAGAGGGGGGTGAGGTGTCGGTTGAGGAGTCTCTCTTACTCTAACCTCTATCAGATCCTGGGTCCCGTATCGCTCCGCCGTTCCATGCGGAATCAGCTGCTGCTTCTCTCCTGTTCTCAGTTCAAAGACCTCCAGAGTACACTTTCCAAATTCGTTTCTGTTGCAGAGCTTATAAAGGCGATTGCCTTCCTCTGGTGGACCTCTGTACCAGCTTTCCACTGGGTTTACCCCAGTTGGGGCTATGAGGTCTTTCCAAGACTGTGGAATAGCTTGTATCAGTGCGTCCCGCCTTACTCCCTGATCTGGAAGTTGTCCCAGTTTGTCCTTCAGCTGTTCATTGCTCAGCCAGTTGTATGACTCCTCCACCCACAGGTCCTTAATTGTAGCCACTCCTCTCTGGATCCACTTATAGCTGAACTTGCCTGGGCCTCTTCTGGCAGAGAATGGGTGGAGCTGGTCTTCACATATTCTGGGATTCTCGAACAGAGGCTGATTTAACACCTCCTGTTTCGTGGTTGGTTCTTTTCTCTCTTTCGGCCGTACCTTCTTCCAGCCCTTGAGAACTTCGCCTCAGAATTTCGACTTAATGCGTTTATTTAAAAAAGAGTCTAACATCATCGCGGCCCAAGTATCAGATTTCCTTGATAATCCTCATTCCTTCATCAGGATTATTTTTGCCATCTTTACCCAGTCCGCTCCTCTCTCGGTTTCTCCTATCCTCACTACCCATCTTGCTACCAGTACCAGATTCTGTATTTCTGGATCTGTTATTGCCAAACCCCTTCTTCCCTAGTTCTGCATATCACTTCCCATGCAACCTTCGCAATGTACCCTTCTGTTTCTCTGGCACATGGCTTCCACAGAAATCTTCGAGCTGCGTCTTTGATGTTCTTGAGTGCTTCTGTGGAGAGCAGGTGGACCACTGCTACATACCAAATCAGACTGAAGGCGGAGGCGTTCAGCACAAGAGCTCTTCCGAATAGTGACAGATGTTTCGCTGTTTTCCAGCTTTGGATACGGCCCACTACCTTCTCCTGTATGATAGCGTCCTGCGCTGCTGAGCAATCTGTCATTGAAAGTTTTATTCCAAGGAAGCGTTCTGCCACCTCTGCTAGAATTCGCCTCATCCCCCAATTTACCTCGAGCTGTTTTGACTCTGGTAAGAAAAAAACTGATTTGCTCCAATTGACCATTGCCTTCGACAGTTCCGCATAGTCCTTCAAGCATTGTTTGAGCGCTGTTAGTGACTCCGTTGTGTTCGCTGAGATCGCGAAGAGATCATCGRCCAGGGCTTTGACCCTGCATTGCTGTCCTTCCCCAATTTCAAGTCCCTTAATGTTCGGATGAGCTCTAATAGACGATACTAGGACCTCCAACTGTATGA